CAAAGGAAAAGAGGAGGACCACAGAACATATTACGCCGCGAAATGGAAATAGACATGAGAAAAATGAACAAGAATTGGAGGGAACTAGAAAAGAAGGCCCAGGGCAGAGTGGGTTGGAGAATGCTGGTCGGCGGCCTATGCTCCATTGGGAGTAACAGGCGCAAGTAAGTAAGTAAGTAAGTTAGTAAGCGTAGTGTTACGCAGGAAAGCCAATAATTAAACTTATTTGAGGTAAAGAGCCACAATGGAGTCTGTAGAGTGAGACCTAATCCCGAAACTGTAGTTTTGTCACAACAAGACTACCTAATCTAGAAGATCTCATGTGGAAGCTACATCATAGTCTGCACTGACTTTCCCTACGGGCCAATCACCCATACGAAGAACACATTTGAGCTAGGAAGAGTATGATATATTTGAAACAAAAAGCTAGAGGTTACACCGAGTGACCACGCCAGCATGGTTGTGGTATGTAATTTCGGTTGATCGTTCCAATATTCACCATATTCGACTTAGAAAATGTGTTACAGTTTGAAAATAACCTCCTAAGTTATCATATATTCAGCTTCAGAGACCATATGGTTAAGAACCACTGCTGCTACAAGTCTAAAAACCTCTTAAGTTACCTCTAGCAATAGAAAATAGTCTGTCCACTGAATGGACTCAATATATGTAATAAACTGATGACGTATTTGTAAAACTTTAATGATGTATTTGTGATCGCTCCCGCTCTCGTATAAGCATTTTCTAACAAACCACATTTACTGCTGAGTTAGCGGACTGATCTCACTATAAAGTACCATCACTAAAGAGTGTTACATCCCTCATAGTTAAGTATAGTTACAACAAACTCGCACAGCAACTCCAAACAATATGGATGTTAACCGCTTATAACGCATCCAAAGAATTGCAAAGTACTCAACTTTCTTTGAAACCCTTAATAAACAATCAATACAATTTAAACATATTAGAGATTCATAGTTATGACAGATCATATACTTCAGTCGAATGAATTATTGAAACTTGGGAAAAAGAAGTCACACCTGTAGTAACGTTTATTCCAGACATAATGCGATAGAACTGGCGCGAAATTCAGCGCAATATTATCAATAAGTTGGAAGCAAATAAACCAACTGTATGTCATACAACTCTGTCAGAGAGGCAAATAATGAACGCCGGGAGTCTACCCAGAATGGATGCTGCACTCTGAAATCGTGTGGAGAAATGTTAAAACAGTTATTGTAAAAGAAAACAGCGAGTCAGAGAATTAGTTAACGCATGGAATACACCATCATCCATTCATAAATTCAGTTGACAGCAAGTATGAGAACGACAACTGAGATAAATAAAATATAGTAATCACATTTGGGATTCAATATTTATCGATTGGAATTCTGATATAGTGGCGCCTAGTTTACAGGGTGCGTTGCCCTGAATTTTTTTGGTTTGTGCAACTAAGTCTTCTAGTTTAGTTTCGGTCGTCCTTCACATTTGGAAAACTCAAGATTAATAGACCATCACGTTCCTCAAAGTTGGGTTGAAACGTTGGCGGACTTTCAAATTCACTGTGGATGATATTCCCAGGTTACTCGATGCATACAAATTTAGGTACCTATGTAGTAAAAGAAGTTAGTCAAAAGTGATGACGTGTGAGAGCATTTTTACGTATTTACTTCTTGAAAGCTAAACTGATCACTAGTATGGTTGGATAATTCAAACAACGGGCTAACTACTGTATCCAAGCAGCTAGCCCGTGTCTGGTAAAGAATACTAACTCCCTTGAGCGTGTCCAACGTGTAAGAACGAAATTAGTGAAGGGTCTTTCTAGACTCTCTTACGATGAGCGTTTAAAACGCCTAAATCTTTTCCCATTGTCGTATCGTATGACACGAGGTGACCTTATACTGGCATTTCGTATCTTGAATTATGATTTGGGTGTTAATATATCTTATCTTTTTGCTCCCTCCAGCACTAATAATCTCCGAGGTCATAGCAAAAAGGTTCATAAACCACGATCTAATAAACTTAAAGTGGGGTCCCGTTTTTCTCATCGAGTAGTCAATCGTTGGAACGCCTTACCTGAACAAGTGGTATCAGCCCCATCAGTGAATACTTTCAAGGAGAAGCTGGACCTTCACTGGAAAGCAATGTGTCAGGATTAACACAGGTTCACCAACCTACTATCCTTGTTACTGAAGATTGACTAAATGTAGTGTTATCCTATCTCCTAATTTTGCGGAAATTTTTATCCGTTTTGGGGAAATTTTTGGGAAGCCGCTATATAAATTTTTGGGGAAATGGTACAAAAACCCCAAAATTTCCTCAGGTATACGGATTTCCCCAAACTCTGGGGAAGACCATTTGACTTTGGGTAAACCCCGAAATAGGGCCCCAATCTCCGGAGATTGGGTACTTAGTAATAATGCAAGATATATCTCTTATTCCACATTGATTTTGCAGTTGAATTAACGTTAAATAATGGCTTTTGCCATGCTTCAGATAAAGTCGAACTGCGTCTAAACACTAATTATGCACACGTCTTATCGCAAACTACTCAAAACTTCGGTGCATTTTTGCAGTATGTCAATATTCCTGAAGTCATTGTTAATTAGCTAGTCAAACCATTCTTTAACTAGTGTAACGTGCCTATTTACGTAACAGCTGCCTTTTCACAGTTCATTTCACTATGTTTCAGTGTTTATGCTTTCATAAATACCTATTAAATTATATTGAACACTGTTCGTAGGATTTCTCACTTTCAGATTTATCTACCTTAGCTTTCCGGCTCTATATGTCACCGTTATAAGTCAAAAGTAGCAATGTTAGGGGCTTCACCCTCTCAAATTCCTTTGTACGGCCGAGAGTGGGGAGAGTTAGCTCTCCTTGAAATGCCCACATGGTCACGCCTATACAGCCACTGCTAGGGAAGTCCTACCAACTTTCTTCTCGCGGCGGGAGTGTTGTTTACTAAATTGAGAGGACGAAAAGTGAATATCCAGCGCCTTAACCGGGTTGGTGGACACGGAGAGCCCACCCAGAGGAGTTGGAAAACCTTGAGTCCAAACCAATTGTGCACATGGGCTGCAGGTTCCTGAAGGAACAAATGGCACATGAACCTATCGTTGGTCACTGTCTACCATGGGATTGCATCTGCTTACGTTGCTCCACTTCCTTGTGTCTCTCTAAGAAAACCACCTGCTTCGGTTTGGGCACTCGGCAGTATCACAGTCCACTCACAAATCGAGTAACTTGTGTGGCGCATATGAATTCGGTGCCTCTTTGTACAAATATTTTTTGTGTTCAAATAAATAAATGAAAATGTTACATTCCGGCACATTAATTTGTTTACCGGAAAGCTCCTTTCGTGTTTATACTGACCGTCTTAGTACCTACATGACAATCTTACTTAAAGCTTCAATAATTTCAAACAACCAAAGGCCAGAAACAAGGCAGTAGCAGACAGAGTAAATACTGCGTTTTGGTTAACCTACTACTATGAGGTTTTTTGGTAGCAAAGAATCATGAACAGAAGATACTGTAGTTTGGAGATAGCTAACATTTCCCGAGTTGCCGGTACACCGATATTATTGCCAACAAGTGATTTAAACTGGCCTGTAGTACCTTTTTTTCGAAGTAACAGGCGTACTAACTGCTGGATTTCTTCGGTATTACTATCCCGATTTGATTACTATTCACTGAAGGATGTAGTTCTCTAAGAGACTTTTGTAATTAAAATGTTGGTGTTTATGTTTGAGCTCTCAACAAACTGGTTTCACAGTTTGACTGAATAATAAGTCCTTACAGTGCGCAATTAGTATCTGTGAATCCAAAAATATTTAACCAATGTAACTATTTTCAAGTACACAGTTATGTTTTATTTCGCTAAATATGTTCAGATATGATTTACTTACTAATTCCCATTGATTCTTTTGCTAACTAGAGCTCCTTAGTAAACTGAACTAAAGTATTTTAACCTCTTAAGACGAGTTGATAGTCCTATACTTAAGGCCTGAAAACTTTTTTGCCAATTTATTATTCGCCTATGTTAAGCTGGGTTGATTAGATCGTTTCGTTGAAAAGGGAGTGCAAAAATATAACTCTAAATAATCTGTTTTGTGCATGTAGTCCATAATGTTAAAAGGACAAATCAAATAACCTATTTTATTTATGGTGTTAAATACCTTGGTCGATAAACATATATCATTTTCTTTCTTTAGGGAAACAGAATTCATATGTGCCAAAGAGTGCTGGTATATTGACGTTAAATAAGAAAAGTAGGATCTTACTTATTAGATAGATAAGCGAGTTTAACTTCTCCTCTACTGAATTACTTTCTTATTTCACTATCGTTTTCACCCTTCCGTCAAGTGTGACAAGTCTGATTTTTAGCTAAGTCGACCTTTATAGTTTCCTTGACAAATCATGTAACTACTCAACCTACACAGCGTGGTAGCTCTCAAAACATACGCTTTGTGAGATATCCTTTTCAAAAATGCTAACTACTTGACCCCAAACGTAGTCAGCGACCTGACGGTTGAGACGGGCTGAAATCGCTGACATGCGCAGGTGGAATTGTTTTGACTTGCACACACTTATAATCGTCTAATATGTTGTGTGCTTAAATAGAATGAAGTTTGCATACCTCTTTTGTATACATGTCGGCTATTGATCTCGGTCTACATTTTTTATAATCATAAGTTATCACCTGTGGACAGGTGTATAAATATACGTTTCCAGTTTGCTTGAACTGAATATTCAGATTTGCAATACCTACTAAAGTGACTGGGGATTAAATCTGAAGTTTTTTTTAATAGCAGAAGACTTTCATTTTAGGAAGACGTTTCATAAGTGACTTCTATTTAGTTACATATTTCAGTAAATTGATACAAAATGTTTTGAGGGAGTTATTTTATCGCCTACATGTTTTATTACTCATCCGATTGTTTTCACCGTCGATGTTTACTACACTGACTGCTGTTAACAACTAAAGCTTTAGAAAAAATATGCTTGTACTCAACAGTTTTCGTCGGTTAATCAACACTCAGTCGATATCATTCCAACCAAGTAGGTCTCTCGATTCAACCTTGTAAATTTTTATCAGGGATTAGAAAATTATTTATTCAAGTCCAAGAAACTCCCAATCCTAACAGCTTAAAATATTTTCCTGGTAAACCTGTACTAGGTTCTGGTACTAGAGACTTTCCATCTTGCACACAATCCACGTCTTCCCCGTTGGCTAGGTGCGAATTATTTTAAATTATTGAAAACTTTAGACAGTTGTTTCGAATCGAAGGCGTTGAACGAGTCTTCTTTGGTCCTGATTTCATCACGATTACTAAGGTCGGTTTATGATTTTTCCGATATGACAAGTGGTAGAATGACGACTTCGAATGGGCTGTAATAAAACCTGATGTATATGCGACTATAATGGATTTCTACAGTTCTGGACAACCTGTTGTCAGTGAAGAAAAAGCACAAGACTTAAGTAAGACACTGCGATATACAGTAATTTGATTGTCATTTTTGTTGATGTTCAAATTTTAAAATATTTTAAATGTTAAGTATTACCTTTTAGTTTGTCGTACTTTCAATGTTCTAACATGTTAATTATCAGGGGTTCGGAGTTCCATGTGGCTCTTGCTCGTCAGTATGCACTCAACTGGTTTACGGTTAACGATATCACTTATTTTAACAATTCTCAATGTTCATGAATAATTACTCTTACTATCATCCTATGGTTGCTTCTGTGTGTTTGTCCAAAGCTGAAATAAAAGGCGTTTTCAAATCACACTTCATCTATTACTCCTATAGTCACCATTTTACCTACTGCTAACACTTAATTTTGATGTCAAGCAGTTCTGAAGTGTTTTTCTTGTAATTTACAAAAAACCTTAAGATAACTAAATATTTAATTGTTTTTTTCATAGTCTTCATGTAATTGAAGTGTTTCATCTGTATAATTTTCGTCAATGTGAGGACCTCATGATAGAGGAACCGTCCGTGAAACGCCAAAGATAAACATATCCACATACGTAAGTGTTTAAAAAAGTTGACATGGAATTGTAGTAACTGACATGTGAACACTGTTTCCTGTCGTCAGATTAGATGACAATATTTATTTAACCCTTTCGTGACCATCTAATTTCGAATGAAGGAGCTTTTGATGTGTTTTTTTTTTATAACCAGCCAATTACGCAAAGCGTTTGCTGGAGACAGTCGAATTATCTTGTCACTACCAACAAATATAGATAGAATTAATTCCTTATTCGAAATCCTAATTTGTGACAACGATTTAAGTAAAAAAAAATCCGACGAAACTCTGATCTTGCTGCTTTACTTCTTTACATTGACGAGTTCCATACAGCTACTAAATGTTCTTGAAACCTGCAATTTTGGAGGTGATGTTACACGAACTTATTCTTAGATACCTGTCAAAGGACATCTCAGTTTTACATCAGCTGTTTCTGTTAATTGGAGAAAAGCTTTTATTCAGTCGTCCATGTACTCTCAATCGGTGGCATAACTTTTGGAGGTTAATTACTGTTTATATACTATGTATTCTGAAGAATTTTTCAAAGATGAGTTCAGTTAATATTACAAATCCTTCCTATTTGAACTTTGTAAACTAGTCAGGTTCGTTGCTATCAAATAACTGATAATCTTTAGGATCTATTATCATATCATTTTCAGCAGAAGTTAATATGTGTAAACTTTCAACTATTCTCCTTGTACATACTTCCGAATGCTAAAATGGTACTCTCCAAAAACTTATAAACTATAGGGTCATTGACGTTGACAAATGTTACTTATCTCTCAGCCTTAGGAAATTATGTGTTACTAATATCTTAGTATTTATGACCGAAGGACGGTTATTTTAAATAGTTTCCGTAAAAAAACTCGAATTTCAGCTCCCTATAACTTTACTCATGTTTTGTAGTTATGTAGAAATTTAGCTTCACAATTTTAGATAAAACCTGTGATGAAGAAGATGAAACAGTATTAATGATAAAAGAACTACTGGATACCCGAATAAGACCCACTGTTCAAGAAGACGGCGGTGATATTATTTTCAAGGTAATCTCATATTTTAGCTGTTCATGTAGTGTGGTATTCTTTGTCTTTTGTTTAGACAACCAATAGCTTGGTATTTGTTAGCATATATGACATGAATAATATTCCATTTAGTGTGATTTGTAATCACATTACTGTCACCTTATTTCAAGTTATTCCGTTTTTTGAATAACTGAAAAAAGCCTATGAAGTCGGCCCACTTATTTAGACTGGCTGTAAATTTTTAATGATACACTTATGACACTGAACATAATTCTATACAACACCAAGTTCGCTACACCACTTACTGACTTAATAGGTTCAAAATGCTTTCTTATTCTCATCTTCTCCCATTACATTTGTTGTAACTTTAAGGTTGGTTAGTTATCACGTGATTTATTCACCAATCGAAATACGACTTATTAACTCTTGTACTGTACTAAACCAATGACGTTCGGCCGGTATGAGCAGCCTAGCGTCCTTATTGGTCCTTTGCTTCCCTAGCCCGTCCAGTTGAGTCCAGAACACCAATAACAGCTCCCGCCATGCGAATCATTTATTTCAAACATGCTTGGTTTATATACCAGCCAAACAGACCGCATCATACCATAAATTAGGAAATAACCTCTATACAAGATCAAGCCAAAAAGTGGCTGTGAACGTGGGAGACGATAACCAATAAACTGAACATAATTTAAGAACAGTAAATCGTACAGTAATAATCTATAGGTCAAAATGAAGTTTATAATAAGAGGAATATAGATATACCTAATTTAGTTACGGAACAGTTATACAATAGGAATATATAATATTAGTCTATTAATAGATCTCAGAAGTTACCCGTAATTTTATCTTCACTAGGATATAACGAAATTAACTTACTAGCTAAGACTATACAGGTGACATGGTCCTGTATGGTATGACACCTAAGATAATACGTCTTCTCAGCATCTTGATTAATAACCCAAGGATGCTCGAGTTGTATTTTCCCGGAGTTACTTGAGTATTGTTCTACAATTATACCACTTATGTTGGCTAAAATAATAGCTAAAATCTGGTATCTGAACGTGATCACTCCTAACTGGTCTTGACCCCTGGTCGTTCCAAATCATAAGAATTATTAAATTCCTCTAATGATAACCACAGAGGGATGAGTGTGACTGAAATATTAGCCTTTATAATCATTCAACGTTTAAATGGAGCAAGGAACACTGCAAATTTGAAAAAAAACAGGCTTAAATGTGGTTGTTGATGTGTTGTGCAAATTTTTAGCCTTCATTACGTTTTACAACGCGGAAACATATACTGACCACAGACTTCAATCATATTCTCCCACTTAAAGTTGGGACTCGAGTTCGGGGGTCGGTTGGTTTTTTTGTAATACTTACCACTACGAGGTGTATCAGAGAAATATGTAAAGTTCCAGAGGGCTCCTCATTCGGTTTCAAATGGTCACATTAGGGGATCCACTTGCCCGAACGACGTGGTTCACTTTGGTAAAAACCCTACCAAATTACAGTCTTATGAACACTTTTAAAAACAATACAAGCAAGTTTGTAGTTCGTTTCTCTCCTTATAAATACAAAGTACGACTTTAGGGCTGGTCCGGATCAGCTCCTAGACTGACCATAGACAACAAAGTAGTTGAACGCGTTGGTCACTTAACTTATCGTAAGGAATTCATTTTTCCTGATGGTAGGTGTTTCCGTACTTATATTTTTTTTCTATGAATTCCTAAACTGTATCATCTTTTTCAGGATTTTAAAGATGGTATAGTGCGATTAAAACTACAAGGATCTTGCTCAAGTTGTCCTAGTTCCGTAGTTACTTTGAAAAATGGTGTACAGAATATGCTTCAGTTTTATATACCAGACGTATTAGGCGTCGAGCAAGTTGAAGATGAATTAGATGCGGTATCCAAAGAACAGTTTGACAAATTAGAGCAGAACATACATAATAAAGAGAAAAGTGAATAAACAAGTTAATGCGTAGATTAAACGATGGGATATTATTTATTGTACATCGTCTGATGAGAGTCACTTGTTAATATGAAATAATGTACATACTCGAATTCGCTATAGTTTAATCAATAAAATATCAGTAATATATATTGACCAACTTTGTTTTCATTTGTGCTGTTTCTTCATATCAACAGATATGATAGAGAAATAACCATGTTGTAAAGTAAAAGTACAAAAAGCTGGGTAGTTGGAAGTGAAGTCATTCAGTACATGCCAGCTTTGTACGGTAGGATTATTTTATGTCTGCATATATTTATCAAATTACTGAATAAATGTTGTTATTTTTCTTATGTCTCACTCCCAGTTTAGTTGACACTAAAACCATGAACCGAACTAAGTTGTGTAACCGTTAAAAACAATGAGGCACTGGACAGGTGTTTCTTCCTACTGTGTGACTCAGCATTGTGCATCCACGACTCCGCCGGAGATTCGAGGAAGAAATCTTGCAACTTGCCTTTAGATCACTGAACTAGCTTCTAATGGTTCTCATATCTAACTTCAAACAATCCGTGAAACTGTGTAACTATCGTTCATCATCTTCACTGCATAACTGCTTCACACTCGATTCATTTAAAATATACTGGTTGTTAATACCTTGACGTGATGGTCGGGCTTGCTTATCGTGATGAACCAATCGAACTACACTGACGAGAACAATCGTTCTTCAAGATCCTACCATGCCAAACAGGTCGGCTGAAGAGCGATAAGACTAAAAGCAACAAACCCAAGGTCTGAAGGCGAAGTCGTACTGCTGACTGTACAGAGATGCAACGGCAGTAAGGTAATTCCTTCAGACAACCAGCATAACAGAGGTGCTGCCTTCCCACAAGGAGAGGTCGGGTTAGTAAAGGTCGACCCTAAAAATGCACACCTCGCCTTATCCGACGGATATCCGTCCCCGACTGCAAGGTTTCAACAAGTACGGAGCTAACACGAAAACTACTCACAAAAGGTCGCGTGTGACTGGCCTCAAGCAGTTGTCTCTTGGGCACTGCGGTCACGCTTTCAGGTCACTAAGACCACTTCTAATCCGATTTTCTTTCCAGGAACCTCCAGAAGAACCCTTGCACGATGTGGGCGACCGGGAAGTGATAACCGCATTAATACATCTAACAGCACTCAAGACCACTTTATTCATAATCAACGTCTTCCTTCTGTTCCTATTGTTATACCTACGGCGACCTTCAGCACTAAAGTTTCTCTTTTGACTTCCTCCTCAAATGTCATCATAGCCAACGATTCTAGTGCGCAAAACACTGTCCCAGGTCTACTGAAACCTCGCTCCAAAATACACATTTGAGCCTTCAAAGTACGCAACCTATGTCAAATCGGTCAGCAGGTCTCTTAGGCTGAGACTAGAATCTCGGGCACACATTTGCTTGAGCCTCACTGGACTCAGAAAAGCCACACAAAAAGACACATTACAACTGAATTGAATGACGAAAAAGCCGAAAGTAGATTCCGGGAACGACTGAGGTCACACTCAGGTAGTTCCGAAAATGAGGCTGACCCAGATGTTGCTTGGAAAGATATACAAGCAGCTGTGAAAACAGCGGTGATATCTATTAGTGATTTAAACAAAAGGGTTACAAAGAACCATTGGATTCTTTCAAGGTCTGTTGCACTGGTGGATTCTCGTAAACTCATCCCATCAGGCTCTGAACACGATGATGAAAGAAAGAAAATCAGATCTAGGTTAAGCAAAAGTCTAAGGAACAACCGTGAGCAGTGGTGGGCATCGAAACCAAGAGATGGAAAAGGCGGCGGCTATGGGGAACACAACACAACTCATCAGATTCATAGAAGAAACTGTGACTAAAAGGTCAAGTGTGGGACTATCTTGGAAAAAGACGACACGACATTGAAGTAGCCGCTCCCGACTCCGATGGAAGTCCAAAAAAATATAGTTAATCTGAAACGAGGAAGAGCAGCTGGTCCGGATGGATTGGCTCCAGAGATCTTTAAGGATGGTGATCCAGTTTTAGCGATTAGGTTGATTAATATTTTAGCCTAACTCTGGGAACTGAATGTAATTCCATCTAACTGGTCGCAGTCACTGGTTGTCCCAATATATAAGAAGCGGTCCAAATCATCCTGTGATAACTATAGGGAGATCAGTTTGACTAATATAGCATCTAAAATACTAGCCTCAATAATTGTCGGGCGCTTAACAAAGACTCGTGAACTTCAAACACGAGAAAATCTGGTTGGCTTCAAACCTGGTCGTGGCTACATCGACCACGTATTCACTATTCGTCAGGTTTTAGAACTCAGACATGCTTATCGGCGTCCGACAATGATAGTTTTCCTTAATTTAAAAGCAGCGCTTGACTCCGTGGACGGAGAGGTTCTGTGGCAGTGTGTCATTGAAAGGCGTACCTCAGAAGTACATAAACCTTGTGAAGGCTCTTTACTTGAACACCACTAGTCGAGTCAGAGCTTACAGCGAACTGTCATCTGCTTTTGCAACCTCAAGTGGTGTCTGGCAAGGCTGTCCACTTTCGTCATTTTTGTTTAGCTTCGTCATAGACATACTGATGGGAACAATGCCCTCATCGACTGAATTTTCGGGCATTGATCTCCTACCAAGAGGTCCACTTATCGACTTAGAATACGCAGATGATATAGTTCTGTTTGGTGAAGACACTGATAAAATGCAGTATCTGTTGGTAGCACTGAGCAACAATGCCAGGATGTTTGGGATGCGCTTCTCCCCCTCTAAATGCAAGTTGTTGTTTCAGGACTGGCCTGCGTCAACACCTGTACTAAGGATAGGGAGTGAAGTAGTCGAACGCGTAGACAACTTTACTTATCTTGGAAGTCTGATCAGCCCTAATGGGTTGGTGTCTGACAAAGTCTCTACACGGATTCGAAAAGCTCGATTGACGTTTACCAACTTACGGCACACATGGCGAAGGCGAGATATCTGTCTATCAATTAAGGGATGAGTGTACTGCTCGGTAGTTCGTTCTGTTCTACTTTACGGCTGCGAAACATCGCCATTAATAGTAGAAGATACTCGTAAGTTACTGGTATTTGACCACAGATGTCTTAGAAATATTGCTCGAATCTGCTGGGATCATCGGGTATGTAATAGTGAGGTTAGGCTTAGGGTATTAGGGAATGGTGGTAAATCAATTGATGAGGTTGTGAATCTTCATCGACTGAGATGGTTGGGCCACGTGTTACGTGCGCCTGAACACCGATTACCACGACGCGCAATGCTGACTAGTGTTGGGAATGGTCGGAAGTTAGGGGCGACCAAACCAAAACGTGACATCAGTGCTTGAAGTCACTAACTTCTAGTCTTAGCCATGTTGGTAGATGCAGACTACTTGGTTGGGGTCCGCGTGACTATCGTAACCAATGGTTGGAGACTGTGGGTGAAATGGCTCAGAATCGATCACAGGGGCGTAGATGTATACACTCAAACTATGATTACTTTATGCCTTCTACGAACTAATGCTTTCTTCCTATACTATATCCTTACATCACTGAGTTAACTGCTTCTATGAATCCGGTGTTCGTCTTGCTATGCCAATGAGGTATGGCAACTTGACTTATTTACTTTCTTACGCCTGTTACTCCTAATGGAGCATGGGCCGTAGATCAGCATTCTCCAACCCACCTTGTCCTGGGTCTTCCTTTCCAGTTCTATCCAATCTTTGTTCATTCTTCTCATATCTGTCCCCATTTCTCAGCGTAATGTGCTCTTTGGACTTCCTTTCCTCCTTTGGTCTTGATAATCCCAAGTGAGGGCTTGCATTGTGACGCAGTTGGGTGCTTCCCTCAATGTGTGTCCTATCCACTTCCAGCGCTTCTTCCTGATTTCTTCCTCCGCTGGGATCTTGTTTCTTCTCTCCCATAGTAGGTTTTAGCTGATAGTGTCTGGCCAACCGATCCGAAGTATTTTTCATAGACAACTGTTGTTGTTCTCCAAGTTTGCTGTCGGTTAACAGTAAGTTTGAGTTCCAGATGTTCTTCATTTGTAAATATACTGCTCTTGCTTTTCCGATCCGTGCTTTCACATTTGCATCAGATCCACCGTGTTCATCAATGATGCTGCCCAAATATGTAAAGGTTTTTACATCTTCCAAATCTTCTCCGTCAATTGTGATTGGATTGGTGCATGCTGTGTTGTATCGGAGAATCTTTCTTCTCTCTTTGTGTATGTTGAGACCTACTGCTGCTGTACTGGTCGTCTTCTCCTGCATTTGTTGTTGCGTTTGCGATAGAAAGGCCAGATCGTCCGCGAAGTCTAGATCGTCCAACTGCATCCTAACTGTCCACTGTATCCCGTGCTCTCCCCCAGATGTTGACGTCTTCATGATCTAGTTGATCACCAGGAGAAAGAGAAAGGGTGAGAGTAGGCAACCTTGCCTGACACCGGTCTTTACTTCGAATGAGTCTGTGAGCTGTTCTCCGTGCAGCATTTTGCAGTTTAATCCATCATAGGAGTTCCGTATGATTTGACTATTTTCTCAGGTACGCCGTAGCGTCGAAGAAGCTTCCATAGTATTTTCCTGTCCACTCTATCAAATGCTTTCTCGTAGTCATCGAAGTTGATGTAGAGTGATGAATTCCATTCAATTGATTGTTCCACAATGATCCGTAGTGTTGTGATTTGGTCTGTACACGATAGATCCTTACGGAATCCTGCCTGTTGGTCTCAAAGTTGGGCGTCTACGAAGTTCTTCTTTCTGTTTAACAATACCTTGTTGAAGACTTTTCCAGGTATTGAGAGCAGAGTGATGCCCCTGTAGTTATCACAGTTGCTGAGTTCGCCTTTCTTCGGTATTTTGATCAGAAGTCCTTCTTTCCAGTCTTTTGGTACTTGTTCCTCATCCCAAATCTTATTGAAGATAATGTGGAGTATCTTTGCAGTTGCCGCTACGTCTGCTTTCAGTGCCTCTGCTGGAATGTTGTCTGGTTTTGCTGCTTTGCCACTCGATTTGTCTGACGGCCATGCTGATTTCTTCAAGTGTTGGTGGGCCAACATTGATTGGGAGGTCCGCGGGTGCTGCTTCGATGTTGGGTGGGTTCAGTGGAGCTGGTCGATTCAAGAGTTCTTTGGAGTGTTCTACCCACCTGTTTTGTTGCTCTTCAATGTTGGTGATTACCTCGCCTTCCTTGCTTTTCACTGGTCGTTCTGGTTTGCGGCGATTTCCAGAGAGTTTCTTTGTCGTGTCATACAATTGTCTCATGTTTCCTTCCATTGCAGCCTTTTCCGCCGTCGTTGCTAAATCTTCCACATATTTACGTTTGTCGGCTCTGATGCTCCTCTTCACTTGTTTGTTTACTTCTGTGTATTCAGCTTGTGCCTTGGCTTTTTCTGCTCTTGTTCGGCTGGTATTGATATCTGCCTTCTTGTTCCTCCTTTCTTGAATCTTATCCAGTGTATCAACAGTGATCCATTCCTTGTGATGGTGCTTCTTGTAGCCCAGTCAGTCAGTATCCCGAAGAAAATTCGTATTGAACTTTTGTGATACTATCCATCCTGTTGTCCAGTACTTCGTGAGTTTCAGTTTCATCTTGGTGACCAGCAAGTGATGATCTGATGTTATATCAGCTCCTCTCTTGGCTCTCACGTCTTCCATCGTCCCCCCGAACTTTTTGTTGATGCAGATATAGTCGATTTGGTTTTGCGCGGTGTGGTCCGGTCAAGTCCATGTGATTTTGCGAATGCGTTTATGTGGGAATATGGTGCCGCCTATGACCAGCTTATTGAAGGCACATAGGTTTGCAAATCTCTCACCATTTTCGTTTCTTTCTCGCAGTCCGTGTCGTCCCATGATGTCTTCATATCCGGTGTTGTCCGTTCCAACCTTGGCATTTAGGTCTCCCATCAGAATGTTCAGGTCTTTTGTTGGGCACTTTTCGACGATTGACCGCATCCTATCGTAGAATCGATCTTTAACATCTTCATTGTAGTCGTTGGTGGGCGCATAGCATTGGACGACGTTCATTGTAATGCTCTCTTTCTTTGTTTTGAAGGAAGCTTTGATGATCCTTGGCCCGTGAGGTTCCCATCCTATAAGTGCGTTTTGTGCTTGTTTACACAGCATCAATGCAACTCCTTGTGAATACGGTGCGTTTTCTTCATCATGGCCAGAGTATAACAGAAGCTCCCCTGAAGCTAATCGTTGTTGTCCAACTTGCGTCCAATGTGTTTCACTGATCCCAAGTACCTCTAGGTTTTATCTTCTCATTTCTGCAGCAATTTGAAAGACTCTCTTGGTCTCCCACATTGTACGAGCATTCCATGTACCTAAATAAATGGTTACTCTGGTTTTCAGAAGGGGCATCAGCTTCGTGACTTCCGAAGGAACTCGTCTTCCACCATGAGGCGTCATAAATCTTCTAAATGAAGACCCTCCGACTCTCAGGGCAGAGTTTAAATGGTTTGGATAATTTTTTGTGGTTAGCACTTTTTTAGCGATTTATTTTTCTACGGGATGGGGTCGCTAACCCCATGCCCAACCCTCCTCATTTATCCGGGCTTGGGACCGGCAGTAGCTCTAGAGGGGTTCCATGCGGAATTATGGCAACTTGAACTGATGCATATATGTGCCTGGTCCTATATTGTAGCTGACTGACTCATACCGGTTATGGTTCTCCACTAGAACTACGAAAATTTCCTTTCACTATTAAGCACATGATAGTTATCAATATAAGGTGTTTTTCGGAGGTCGCCGACTGACCAGTTAGTTGACATTGACTGAGGATGGCGTTATATTGGAAATCCATCTAAGTAGGGTTTAAGGCATGGTAAAATCTAACTTATCAGTTTAGTGGTATTGTTCTTACCACAGGGCTTGTAACGTTTTAGTGTGAGCTCATGTGCCGGTTATACTCGGTAATCAACAAGCATTCTTGACCTAAAGCGAAAGGATTCCAATGCTCTTTGATTTCTAATTAACTTCCTGCCAGTATCAGTTTGTTATATATTTAGGCTTTAAAATAAATATCATAGCCAGAGGAGAAAATCGGAGAGTCGATTTGTGTAGCAATAAAAAAATGATATAACTTAAAATATATATGAACGTAAAATAATTATATGGAATGATATTAATGAAGAAACAAAGTAATAAAGAGCTTAGATTATAACCGAATTTCCATCCATTTTTTTACTGAAGAAAAGTCACGAGAATGGTGAAAATCATTATTATCAGAATAAAAAGCAACTGATAACTACTTCGATTCCAATATGTAATTTACATTTTCAGTGTTTAGTAGCTATGGTTTATAAAAACCTAATCAGCCTTGAATTTCTATGCTTTTTCATCATCTTTAAGTGTTTCAAGTTGTCTGTCACTTAGAAACTAAGCCATGGCTCTACTAAACCTTTTGATGCCACTGATATACCAACTTTTCACAACATTCAAACAATACAACCATGACCTTCCGCTTTTAGTTAGCATCAACTTATCTATTTCATCGCAAAACTACTCATTTTGGAACATTAATATGCATTACTGATTTGTAATCAATTCCGCAAAATCTCTTTCTGAATATACCGTTGTATTGTAACACATCTCAGCATAATTTGAATGGTCATAGTTATCGATACATTATTACACTGACCAGAAAGCCTACCATCACCCATATTCTGCATCCTAATGGTCAGATGATTTAGACTGGCACTTTGTCTTAGCCTGACTACTGTACATTTTTCCCACCTCCCTCTTCTTGCAGTGAACATAGTGCATTGAGGCAGACCATAGATAAGCGTAAGGTACATGATTCTCACACACCATAATCTCCCCGCGTGACTTCTCTCCTATTTGGTATTCTACTTCTAGTCTTAACACTACACATTCACTTGTCTGACAACAGTCAAACGACGTACCGAAGGTGTTCATGACCAGATACTTGTAATCTACTCATCTATTTCATGTCTCACACCAACCTCACCGAAATGGTTCAGCTGAATTTACAGATGAAATGATTAATTAATACGTGATTGTTAAACACATGCATTCACCAAATTAGTAGCAATATTATTAATCTGTTATATTATAACGATTCTTGAACGGTAAGGAGAGACAATCATATTTGTAAAAGTCCCAGGTTTTCAACTGATTTTTCCTCCTTGATGTCTGAAAATAACTCGGGGCCTAATTGCTATGATACTATCCGTTCATAGATTCCCGAACACTATTATTTTCAGTTTAATTATTACGAATCTCCTCAACACAATTTGATAGAGCGAAGCTATCATTTTACTTAAATATGATTGTGAGATCTTCAGAGAGAATAAAACTGAAGCCATAATATTGAAATCCGGTAACCATCACCTCTTGAGCACTTCTGTACTGAATTCAAAGGCATTCGTTTTATGAATATCCCTTCTGAACACAATTTGACACAGCATCCTCAGACGATAACTTACCAATATGTGTTTCTATCTGAATATATTTTTTCGACTATTAGCCCCCATCTAGTTTGATGTCAGTCACAAATCTCATCCTCTGTGAGTTAATGTTGCGAAACCTAGACATCGGTGAGATTAGGACAAATTTATATACAGAAACTGATTTACTAATGACGTCCAATATTCTACTAGGATTTTAGTGCTCAAGCTATTACTACTGAGTAACAGTGTGTGAATCAAGTACGTATTTCACTTGGAATTCATTCATCCATAGTTCAATTTAACCTTAATTTAACTAGTACGCCACAAAATGGATCATCGAATATAGTGTTATGGAAATGAATTTGAATTTGGTATCTTCGTGGAAGACTTAAACAGCATGAACTGTAGTGGATAAATGTGTATATCGCTGTTCAGTGAATACTGATTAAGAACACAGGAACACTTCTAATTTATGAGAATTCTTAATATCTTTCATTCTTTTGGAACAAAATTTTCCGTTAGTGATTTATCATTTATGAAAAAACTACTTCCATCTTTCGAAGAGAATTACAGTATTCTCATGATACCAAATCCGTTAAATAACATTCTTATGATACACACATGAACACATTGCAGTAAGATAAACTGATCTCTTACGGGACACTTATTCTTCGATTGTTCCTTGTGAAATATTCCTGTTACGGATATTCTATAGAGATTTATGTTTGACTCGATATTCACCTTTTGTTGAGTTATTATTAGTGAATGATTGATTGCCCAACGTCATATTTTAGTTAACTCAGTCTGTTACAACTGATCTCACAAATTTAATCGAAGTAAAACTTGAGATAAATAAAACGATTTACTTCAAAAACATTTGCGAATGACATTTATGAAATATTTTTGTTTACTTCATTCGTGAAGTTCATGATTTATCAAAATAAAATTGTGTGAAGAACCTGGAGTTTTATCAACTGTGTTCATTTAATTAAGTTTAATACTAGGTAAATAATGTTCCATCTTCATAACATTCATGATTTGTAAATATGAAAACCAGTCACTTCTCAGTAGAGAATATACATGAATACGAATATAACAAGCTGAAACGAAGCCAAAATAACGCCGAGTAACCATGAGCTGGAATGTGGCCGAACACTCATGTGAGAGCTGGAATAGTTTTGATAATACATAATCACGCTGATAATACAGCATATACCTGAACAAAAAACAGAATATTGCAACAATTTATCGTTAAGTAGCTAACTAGTTTACAATCCTCACTAATCAGTACTAACTATAACAGGCGAGATACTTTTCTTGAGTTATACTTAGCAGAAAATATCTAAATGATTATGAATGATAGTTTCAGATATAGAGAGGAATTCTTAGTATTTCAAAAGACTAGTGGATTCATCGTTATCTTTTGTAAAGTGTTTGTTATAAGTCTTCATAATACATTATTTATACTCTAATTTTCTTGTACTCTACAAACAATATGAATATTATCAAACTTGAAAGTGACATTGAGTTCGTCGATAATCTGAAGAATTCGGTTGATTTGTCTCTGCTATTCTATACTGGATGTCAGTGAGTGTTCTGGCTTCGCTTGAAATTATGCAGCCGTGTATAAAAATGATACAGTGGCGATGAAGTGGGTTATTTGTTATCTGAAAGGGTGTAATTTCGCCATGTGAATAAGCAATGCCTGTGATAAAGATTCAATTGATTCTGATGGCGTAGTAGACGATTTTTATAAATGCTTAGTATAACTAGCGACAACTACATAGGTATGGTCATTAAAATATATAATATTGAAGAATGATAGTTTCAAATGTGGAAATTCCAGAACTCCGTCTAACAATATGGTCTGTTTCTGGATTTCGAATAACAATTTTAACGCATATATATATATATATATATATATATATATATATATATATACTGGTTGTTTGGATGTCGCCATCGATGTTTAGGACTACAACTGATCAGTCTCTTTTAGAGTACGTGCATTCTGTGTTCATTGTCTTGATACTAACAGTAAGTCACAAGCAGTTTAAGAAGAGATGGGTGGTGGTTAGCAGTGGAATCCAGAACTCAGCAGCTCAATGGCTAACGTGATCGTGATTGAGCTGGAAGGCACTTGGTTCGAGTTTAGGAGTGAACATGAATTCGGCTGCTGGAACATCCAGCTGACGAAACGCGAATAGTATGAAACGTGCATCCTGGATTTCACTGCTTGTCACCATCCATTTCTGATGAAAATAAACGGATATGTTTGATCAGTTGGTGGGAAAGTTACGTTCTTCATTTACTTTTCTGTTCGTCATAGGACTAGCAACGATCAACTAGTCTGTATAATCATACTGTAAAATTTTTCACTTACTACAAATGTACAGTTGTATTATTCTAAAAGAACCTGTCAGAAATATTTAGTCCTTATTATTAATTCACCGATGTCATTAAAATACAACACCCATATCTTTTTCTGTCTAATGAGTAGAGTCGTTCACTAGAGAAGCAAAGTAAATGCAATAATGAAAACTTATTGTCAATCCATAAACAACACAATTGTCTCGAAAGACATGTCATCGCTACAATAGCATCGTAGACTGTTATAACAATAACTGTAAAAATTACTTACATCCTATTACAATCGCGACAAAAAATCCAATGCTCAAGATTTTTCGAGTTTCTATGAAAATAGTCACTGCATATAGTACGAGCGCCACAATGAAAGCGATGAGAGCGAGGAAGTAGAATGCGTGAAATGCTTTCAACGAACTTGATTTATGTTCGGCTTATAACAGTAAACGAAAAAAATGAGCATTTCCAAGTGTACTAGGAAAATTTGGTAACAATACACTGACGAGGAATTAGAAGAAACATTTAACTGATTAATTAATTCAATAAAAAAACAAACTGAACATCAACATGAATAAATAGTACGTATATTGTGGAATTAGCCAATAAAAGATAACTAGTGTATTTCAAACAAACATATATTCGGATAAAACCAACAGAACAAAGGAAATTTGGGAAGAAAGTATTCTTCTCAACTAAATCATTTATTTAGGCCATACAATCGCATACATTGTGATTTTAAAAATATATGTGTGTACAGAAGGATAGAAAGCGGTTACATTGTGAAGTGTTCTGAGACATCAAGTATTCATTGACTGTTGCACAGTGGCGTAGAGATATGAGGAGAATAGGACAATGAAAATAGGTTGTCGGTTAGAAATATACAACCTGCATTGGATACTTGCGATACAGAAAACAAAATAATAGAAATTCATTCTACTCATCTTAACATTTATAAGTTTACCAAACATTTATAAATACGATCGTACAAATTGAGTAACCAGCTTCGTTGGAAAGAAAATTTTCTTTGTTAAATTCTCATCAGTTTATTCATTAACTTGATGAGTGACTTCAGTAATTTAAATCCACTGGAATTTAACCTTGAAAACAGTTCACTTTAATGATTGTCAAATTGTACATTATTGATACACTGTGCACTGTACGCATACATTGATTGATCACTAAGTAACAACAAATATGATGACTGACTATTATTTATTGATGGTTTCTAAAACCAACTTCTCATTAGGTTGTTCTTTTACATTCCACTAAATCCCTACTTCCATACCAGAAATTCACTTAAACACTGACAATCACATGTTATTTTCATTATCTAGTTTAGCATTCAATCACCACTCTTTTGTACGGTGAATATTCTTCTCACTATTCACAAAACAATGAGAAATGTTTTAAGAATGAGGTCAGTATGTGCGCATATGATCAGCATGTTTGCTGCTAATTACAAAATATGGTGTCACATATGGATTCCGTTAGATGAATAACACAAATCATGTCAATCTTGAAATTATTTTAGAAATTCGTGCACGATCCTGCTTTTATTCAGTGAATGACACATATCAATCAGGAATTCCACTGGACAAATGGAAGTGTGTGAATGTTCTGAACACAGCAAAAATGTATCATCAAATAAACCCCTTCACTATAATTAAGTACATGTCGCTTGAAACGGCACGCTGACAATCCGAGAACAATTGATGTTTTAATTTCAGCTGGAGGTGAATGCAGTCAACATAAAATAGGGGAATCGGTGATAAAGCATTCATCAATCATGATATATTTTTCATAATCCTGAGTACCAGATTACACATCACCACAACTCATCATATCGCTATCTGTGCCGAAATCACCAACCTCAGTGACATTCTAGTTGCTGCTCACTAGATGTTTCGGGTCACGTTTATACACACTGAAATCAGAGGAGAGATTGGAATTTCGTTTCCTTGATGTTCTACTATAAGGAATGACAGCTGGTTCCATCTAAACATGTTTGTTACCAGATTGTGATGGTTATCATACAAGTTCCAAAGTTGAGTTTTGTTGATGAGAAAGAGGAAGTTTAATTACCCTGTCTGTATATTAGATGTGAATAATGTGTTCTACTGATATGATGAAGGAAGAAGCAGTTCACTTGTGCAGTATGATTATGAGAGATGACTTTCATTCCAGGTTTGTCGATGGGAAGTGGAGAGAAAACTACATCCTGAAAGATGCAGAACATTTCCAAAGGAAAATTATTCCGACTATCGTCACATGTAGAATAGATACTGCAGAGGAAGTCTTTGAAAACGTGACTGTTGAAATCTTTGAGAAAACGTGTTTGGTGGAAGGTGGCAGTGCAACATATCAGTAGTCTAAATGTCAAGTATTCGTAACAAGGTTTCAACACCATGAGATCGATCGTTGTGAGGTTGTGGGTAGGTACTGCTGAACAGTTTCATACACCAACAAAACATCCATCCAAGGCGTTTTCGTTCTCACTGAGTGTCTAATTGAGATTAATGTGTGGTGTAATCTATGAGAGATTTCACTTCATGTACTCAAATGTAAGAATTACAATTAACATCATCTTACATTAAACTATACTTATCCTCTGAATAAATGCAATTGCATACAACAATGACGTCATTTCTGTGTGAAAATAGACACAAATTCAATAATATCAGACACACACGCACGCACATACACAAAGTCATTGTTCAGTTTTGGCATGCAGTTGTAAATGATCAAGAAATGTGAATCTTCATCCATATTATGCGATTCACAATTACACAAAATAAAGCTCACAAGTATAGAGTCTTATTCACATGCAATTTATTGGGTGAATAACAAAAACAACCATTGACAATGACTAAGTAACTACTATTCAGTGTGTCATAATATTAGGTATGATTACTGACGTCATGAATCAGAAGTGATACGTTAGCATTGTTATTGATAATTCTGACACGTATTCACGTGCATCGGTTGTTTTTGTCCCATTGATTAGATTATTAATCTCAACAATCAACAGAGACATTTCCATTACCAATAAATGTGCAATTCTCATCAGCATGACAAACGATTTTACGAAGAAGAAGAAGAAGAAAGATGATGAAATTCTGCACGAAACATTTGAGAAAATCAAACTAATTCGTAGTCGATTTCCACTTCAAAATGTAGGCGGAATTATTGGATGATTCAACACACAGTTTATTACCAATACTTTCGACCACATCATTGTTGGTTGATTGCCTTAGTCTGCATTACATACAACGTCGTCATACTGGTGTACTGTCACTCTGGAAACTGTTTGTTTCACCGAATTTACACATCGTTTAAACCTATGGCACATGAATAATCAGTATGAACAAATGGTCGATATTTTACTGTTGGTTGTCATAAGAAATAATAATGAAATACACGAGTCGAAGCACCCTGCTCCACTATGTTCAAAACACACACGCCATCCACACAACCTCCACATTTTATCACTATCGATAATTACAAGTGGCATTAACCAGACTGTGATATCTTAATCGTGATGTATGACAGCATTTTCCATACTTTTTACTCGCTTACCAAAACAACCGTGATTCTCCTCAATTTTATTCATCTACAACGTCACTTGTACTTACTTGATTGAAACACGTGTTTCCTCGTGGTGTGTGTAACACACCACATAATTACGACTATTTGAACACGCGACAATCGGTTCGATGAATAAATGTCATGAACATCATGAGATCACCGTGAATCAAGAGGTAAATGCCGCATCTCCGAATCACTGATTATCGGAATGAAGAAAGTGTGTATGAAGAGCGACTTCTAACCACGTGTCGACACAACGTCAAAATCTGTACAGTTCACAAATTATGCATTCACATAAACACTCATGCTCACATACATATACGTCCTTGTTGGTAAGTGTTTGAAATGTGTTCATCACGATAGACAGGACAGAATTTCCATAGGACGATTTTAGTACGGACACGTGTTTTACGCATTCACTCGATATACATATTCTCGAATCAAGTTCTGTAGATTGGATGGATGGACTGATGGATGGATGGATGGATGGATGGATGGATGGATGGATGAATGTGATAATAGCGACATTCTGAACAACAGAATGAGTAAATCTCTAGACTCAACTACTCAACAGATAACGTGTTGACGTTTGAAGTGACAGGTACTGGGTTCGAATCACAGTGCGAAAATCAAAACACTGGAGTTCAGAAACATCCATCTGACCACAATTCACTTATTCTACTGTAGTCACAGATTGTTTGAAGTGAGGTACTAGCAGTTGTTTAGTTGATCTGAGAAGACATATTTCATAGGTAGTCAGGATAATGGAGAATGCATGTGTCGGTTATTAAATTTCATTTTAATGTTTGTGTTCTAGTAACAACCAAGGTGTTATCAATCACTGACATGAGTGATGTTAATACATACCATTGAACAATATGAGTGACTCGTGTTTACACATATTGATCATCATGTTTCGTTTTCTGATTAATAAATTAGTGAAATTGTCGTCAAATCTTGGTTTATGCTAATGGAATTGTTAAATTTGTCACAAACCATCAAAGTAAATTATAATCACATATCCTTTTTAAAAAACTTAGCACAATAATTTATGATTCAACTTAACTTATTTTCACTAGTCTCACGTTCATTATTATGGTTATTTTAAGGTGTCTTACAACATATGTCACTAAATAAATGCATCGCTTTTCTCTAAAATATTTATTTTATAGAATTTACACGTTGTTTCCAATTCCGACACATCAAAAATCGAGATCAAAGAAATGAGAATTTAGTTTGATCTTAATATTTTGTAAATCTGTTTATTGTAAAGATGTTTGTCTTGCATAGGAATTCTGTTAATGACTAATTCACCTTATCAATAATTTCAGCAATTAATATTTGACTAGCGGAAAATTACTGTTACTATGATTCGCTATTATGTGATTGTATTACTAAATGGTGATAATTAACACTGAATACTGTTAAAACTTACAACTATTTAAAGTATTATGAAGAAATTGAAACTTCATTCATGATGAAAAGATATTGTGAACTTTGAACCTAATATCGTTTGAAACTAATTCCTGTTTACTATGAGCTGACAAACTTGTTGTGTAATAGGAAATGCGTCAGTATGGTGACAAACATGATTTCACATAACAATATCAATAAACCTGACAACTTATTAATAAGTTACTATGCACAATATTGTAAGTATTCAGTTTCAAATTCGATCTATCGAAATGGTGGTTAAACTAACACATTTTTGTTTAGCCGTGAAACACTATAAGATGATCCTTTTTATTTTACTAATTAGAAATATTGAGAAAAAAGTAATTTCATAGGATATTTATGTTTCCTTATTCCTGATATTCTTTTTATTTCTGCACCACACCGTTTATTAAAACAAACATGACATCAAAATAGAATTCTCTTATTTTAGCATATACTATAAAATATTTAAATAAGTCACTAATCATGTAACCGCCTAAAATATTGCATTGATGTTTATGCATAACTATAAACGTTTTAATTTTGAATTAGATTCAAGTTTTAAAATGCATCTCATCATTTAATGATGAAAGTGAGCTTCTAAATTAGTTCAATTCATAACAAATGGAATATATTCTGGTTAACGAGGTTCACGCACTTTAATGGTAGTCTTTATCTACAGTATGTTGTTCGAATACATATTAATTACTATTAAAGCAATTACTTTTAACTTGTATCGCATTAACTAAACAATCAGTACGATGCTTTAGTTAAACCAGTGATTTGAATAATTATTCGGTTAATGAGATCCTAAATTATATAATCCTAACATATAAAGAAAATAGTGTTACAGAAACTCAATATGATTCAAATGGAATAAATTATTTATCGACATAACAACTACTGAGACAGTAAACAGTTCTTTGGTTATTTGTGAGGTTTATAGTTAAGCTTTGCTGAAGCTCTTACTCAGAGAATTATCTCGATATTTCTTATTTATTCAACTTTGCAGAAAACCATTCATTATGTTTTACTGGAGACTGAACGTCCTGGGTTCGATTCCCGAGTGAGTAGCTGTGGATAAGCACTGCCGATATGTTACAGATTAAGACGAAACTGTGTTTTAGTGCTCCCAGGTTTTCATTAGAGATCTGGTCTGTGAATCTAACTGTGGAAATTTTAAAACCTAGCCTAGTTTTAAAAAAGACTTTAAATGAAAACAATACAACTACTAGTATGTTACCCTTTTCTCAGTACAATTTAATTCATTGAAATTTTTAAAAAAAAACACTTCATAATAATATAACACTCACCTGTAAGGGTTTTATCTTCAGCAATTGCTACCACTGTAAAGCATATCGCTATTGCTAAACTGACTAAAATGAAAATTTTTGTGTTTCGGCTTTCTCCCATGACTGTTTTTGGCTTTTTTTTTAAAAATAAATGACAATTGACTTTTTAGCTCGATGTTCTCAAGCCCTATGAATTGAATTATTGAGATATAAATGTATACATTTATAAACTTTATCATTACCTTTTTTTTACCTAAATAGTTTTATGCAGTAATTGTGTTCTGTATTTTGTTATAATCAAATGATGTCACACTACTTATATAGGGTTTTTATTATGTTTTAATTTTTTTTTCGATGTACACTTATGTGTTTTGTGAATTTGTTTGTGAGCATGTATACTAATGAATAACATAAACATACAGTTATTATTGTTGTACTAGTATCAGACTCATTGTTGTTAACTATGTGAATGAACACTTTTAAATACAACTACACCTCTTACTGTACAGTTTTGTTTTTTTGTTTTTTTAGAAATTTATTTTGGAATTTCATTAATGAAGTGAAATAATGGTAAAAGTATAATAAGATAGATTTCACATGTAATAATTTCTTTGTTCAGTTATTATTAAACAAATTCACTAATATCTACTTTGATTTCGTTTAGTTTCTATGCTAAATCTTCGTTTTAAAGTCAGATTCCTATAGTAAACCATACTTTGTAAATTACATTTTGTTGATCACACCATCATAGTTCACAAAACCTGAAACTGTATCATTTTTAACTGAAATACTTTCTTTTTTTTCACAAATTTATTATGAAATTTCATTAGTAAAGTAAGAATTCTTGAACGTAATTCTAATTCTAACATTATTAATAGTAAACAGTTTGAAAGTTTTATAGACTGGTCAACATATAATGAGTATTCATGAAATATTATAATTTTTTTTTGGCATAATGAGTATACTGTTCAAAGTGTTTCGTTTTTTTTATATTTATTGAAGTTAACCAATTTGTGAGTGATCAGTTATAAGGCTGTGAAGATTGTTGAGTTTTGATTGAGATTATGAATGGATCCATGTTAGACAATCATTGAAAATCTGGAAGGAGTGGAAGGCAGTCTCGTCCTAGTATGGGACTCCTGAGCAGTGTGCATCTACGAACCTGCATACGGGATTCGAACCCATACTAGAAGGAAAAGTCCGTTCACTGCTTCCAGATTTTCAATGGTGGTCTGATATTGATCCACTCATGATCTCAATTTGTGAATTATTAATAAATCATTGATTAATAGTTGAAAAATGTGCAGGAAATTAAAATCGCTAGAATCAGATTTCCTTTAGGCTGAGTGAAACGAAGTTGTCGTTTTCATACAGATGAATTTCAAGAATAACAATTAAAATATACATTATTAAACAACTTAACGAAAATTTCATGAGTACAGTATTATGGTTTATCTTTAAAATTGCTTCATAACGAATAGGTAGTAAATGAGATCAGTGTCGAATCATATGACATATTTTTCTGAACTTTTCTTTTTACGTACACTTTGGTATAACCAACTATTAAAGTAACTTTAGTGTCGTAAAATTTATCTATAAGCTGAACTAAATTGTTTCGAATCACATATTCTCTACTCATGAACGCGAAATATTGTTAAAATCGTGATTAAGAAATATCATATTTATAAAAATAATACCCAAGTGTGTGAAAATGGTCAGTGTTATCAGATGAACAATGTCCTTAAAAGAATCAATCATAAGCTTTAAGCAAAAGGTAGGTAACTAATATACAAATCCTGAAGCCACTTAATTCACGTTTTTTAATGAATTTGCTACAACAGGCTTCAGGTAAGTAAGTCACTGACAAATTTAAAGATTGATGTAGCTCTATTAATTCCATATAATCAATAAATAATAATGGTGAAATTATATTACCGTAACATACGAATCAGATTTATGATATCGCCTCTTGGAATTTTACTCAAAAAAACAAATACGAAGACTGATAACTCGTATCTAATTAGAAGCTAAGTAAGAATTGTCTATATTTAGTTTTTAAGATGCATGAAACTTATAGACAGATCTGAGGTATCTGGAAAGCTAATTAATAATTGAACGTATTTCATATGATCCAACGCATAGTCGAGTGTATTTGTATGCCTAAAAAGTATTCTTTACGCTAACCTAAACTTTATAACTCTCCTAACCTTAGACTTCTTAACCTTAACCATAATTCTTAACCATGAAATAACTGTTAATTCTTAATCTTCGCCAAAAATTGTGATCAATTGTAATTTCATTATTTTTTTATAAATCTTTTAATAACTAAATACGGTATTTCGAGTAGCAGATAAATGGTCTAAAGTAGTCAACATATTATACTTTTACCAAAATATTCTTCATTAATTCCTAAGTAACTATTCGATCATCATTCGCCAAAACCAAATGTGAATGATACGAACTGTGATCAAGAAAAACAATTAAATTTTCATTGTTTTTATAGTTCCAACAGAAGATCACTTACCAAAGTGCTCAGATAATTCACTTAACATTGTTTGGCTTGTATCTCCCCATTGAGGTTTAAGACTGCAATTGATCAGTCTGTTATTGGCATATGTGCATACTGTGCGTATTGCTTCGATATTGCCTTATTTCACAAGTTATTTGTAATCAATCGTGGTGAGTGTCTAGCAGTGAAATCCAGGACACGCGTTTCGTCCTATTTGGGACTCGTCGGCTAGATTTACCTGCACCTCAGAGTTGATGTTCACTCTGTGACTGCAACCCAGTACCACTCACTTCAAACGCCATCGCGTTATACACAAGCAAGTGGCTATCAGGACTCAGAAGTTCGAGTCCCAGAGTGAACATTAACTCTCTGAGATGCAGGTACATCCACCTGACGAGTCCCAAATAGGACGAAACGCGCGTCCTGGATTCCACTGCTTGCCACTATACATCATTGCTTACAAAGAGCTCAGATAATGTTTTCAAGTAAAAACAGTGCCATGAACTGAAAGAATATGCTATCAAACTAATTGAGTGTGATGAAAATGAGTAGAATTAAGTTAACAATTACATTAATGCTATATAAATAACAAAACGGTTCTCTCGATTACCAATATAGACAAACCAAACTGTAAATAAATTTAAATCACTGAGGCACTCTGTAGTTGGACTATAAATCATTACCAAGACAAAATATATAGTATCGAAGGTTTAAAGCTACAAATTGAATCAACAAACACAGTTACATAAAAGAACAAAATCGAAAAATTTTCATTCGACAAAAATACTTGAAAATAAATAAGTGTAAAATCAAGGCACTCATATTGTTCAATGGTATATATTAACATCACTCATGTCAGTGATTGATAACACCTTGGTTGTTACTAGAACACAAACATTAAAATGAAATTTAATAACCGACACATGCATTCTCCATTATCCTGACTACCTATGAAATATGTCTTCTCAGATCAACTAAACAACTGCTAGTACCTCACTTCAAACAATCTGTGACTACAGTAGAATAAGTGAATTGTGGTCAGATGGATGTTTCTGAACTCCAGTGTTTTGATTTTCGCACTGTGATTCGAACCCAGTACCTGTCACTTCAAACGTCAACACGTTATCTGTTGAGTAGTTGAGTCTAGAGATTTACTCATTCTGTTGTTCAGAATGTCGCTATTATCACATTCATCCATCCATCCATCCATCCATCCATCCATCCATCCATCCATCCATCAGTCCATCCATCCAATCTACAGAACTTGATTCGAGAATATGTATATCGAGTGAATGCGTAAAACACGTGTCCGTACTAAAATCGTCCTATGGAAATTCTGTCCTGTCTATCGTGATGAACACATTTCAAACACTTACCAACAAGGACGTATATGTATGTGAGCATGAGTGTTTATGTGAATGCATAATTTGTGAACTGTACAGATTTTGACGTTGTGTCGACACGTGGTTAGAAGTCGCTCTTCATACACACTTTCTTCATTCCGATAATCAGTGATTCGGAGATGCGGCATTTACCTCTTGATTCACGGTGATCTCATGATGTTCATGACATTTATTCATCGAACCGATTGTCGCGTGTTCAAATAGTCGTAATTATGTGGTGTGTTACACACACCACGAGGAAACACGTGTTTCAATCAAGTAAGTACAAGTGACGTTGTAGATGAATAAAATTGAGGAGAATCACGGTTGTTTTGGTAAGCGAGTAAAGAGTATGGAAAATGCTGTCATACATCACGATTAAGATATCACAGTCTGGTTAATGCCACTTGTAATTATCGATAGTGATAAAATGTGGAGGTTGTGTGGATGGCGTGTGTGTTTTGAACATAGTGGAGCAGGGTGCTTCGACTCGTGTATTTCATTATTATTTCTTATGACAACCAACAGTAAAATATCGACCATTTGTTCATACTGATTATTCATGTGCCATAGGTTTAAACGATGTGTAAATTCGGTGAAACAAACAGTTTCCAGAGTGACAGTACATCAGTATGACGACGTTGTATGTAATGCAGACTAAGGCAATCAACCAACAATGATGTGGTCGAAAGTATTGGTAATAAACTGTGTGTTGAATCATCCAATAATTCCGCCTACATTTTGGAGTGGAAATCGACTACGAATTAGTTTGATTTTCTCAAATGTTTCGTGCAGAATTTCATCATCTTTCTTCTTCTTCTTCTTCGTAAAATCGTTTGTCATGCTGATGAGAATTGCACATTGATTGGTAATGGAAATGTCTCTGTTGATTGTTGAGATTAATAATCTAATCAATGGGACAAAAACAACCGATGCACGTGAATACGTGTCAGAATTATCAATAACAATGCTAACGTATCACTTCTGATTCATGACGTCAGTAATCATACCTAATATTATGACACACTGAATAGTAGTTACTTAGTCATTGTCAATGGTTGTTTTTGTTATTCACCCAATAAATTGCATGTGAATAAGACTCTATACTTGTGAGCTTTATTTTGTGTAATTGTGAATCGCATAATATGGATGAAGATTCACATTTCTTGATCATTTACAACTGCATGCCAAAACTGAACAATGACTTTGTGTATGTGCGTGCGTGTGTGTCTGATATTATTGAATTTGTGTCTATTTTCACACAGAAATGACGTCATTGTTGTATGCAATTGCATTTATTCAGAGGATAAGTATAGTTTAATGTAAGATGATGTTAATTGTAATTCTTACATTTGAGTACATGAAGTGAAATCTCTCATAGATTACACCACACATTAATCTCAATTAGACACTCAGTGAGAACGAAAACGCCTTGGATGGATGTTTTGTTGGTGTATGAAACTGTTCAGC